CCCCCCCATTTCACTTTTTTTTTTGTTTACATGGGCCGAGATTTTGGGCCAAGAAGAAAGGGTGGAGTGGTTTGGGCCCATTAACTTTAGTTAGGATCTTTGGATCCTAAACATAAAATTTTTCGGCCCATTGGGCCCTTGGAAGCATTCACGACCCAAATAGAATAAAAGAATGGGCTTATGGCTCACTAAGGTTAATTGGATTAGTTATGGCCCAATAAGGCCCATTAGGGTTATAATGAACCATTCTAGACCCAAATGGTCCAAAATGTTTTAGAATTATGAATTGGGTCCAATTAGGATCCAATTAGGGCTTCTAAGTCCAATAAAGTTGAATTGGGTGCTTATTGGCCCATTAGGTCCAATAAGGAAATCCTAGTCCAATATGGACTTAAACCATGGGTCTTAGGGCTTCAGACTCTTTAATGAGAATGAATGGTGAATCTAAATGAGCATTGAGTGAGATTTACTTAGAGTATATGTTTTACAATAGTTGAATGGTTACACAGGAATAGAATTTCCTAGCTAAAATGCCAGTTGTGACAACGTCCTACAAAGGTAGACGCAAGGAAGATCTCATGACTTAGTCTCATTTAAATATTTCACAACCTTTCCTATTTATAGAGGATGAGACATTCTCTTGTTTACTCTCACCATCGATGTGGGATGAAGACATTTTAATTAAACTCATTTCTTTATTTGCCAATAATTTCATTTTGCTAAATAAAATATTAAATAATAAAAATAAAACGTTATCCATAAAATTTATTGTTCAATAGTTCCATTTTTTCAGTAATCTCGTAAGTTGCTATCCAAAAAAGTAAGTTTTTATTGAATAACCTTTGGTTAAATCCTAAAACTATAAATTCAGTTAGGTACTTACTATAGAAAGTTTGTTTATATGTATTTTCATGATTCAAAAGGTCATTATAAAATGAATTCATTTATAAAATATAATCGAATATATATTTCGCGCTTTTGAATCAAAGTGATTTTCAAACAATTATAATTTTATGCCTAGGTAGATTTTTTTTATATTTATATAACATTATGTAACTTATTTATAATATTATTAGAAACAATCTGAATAATCATGGGAGTTTCAAATGTAGGTGGTGAAAGGAAAATGCTTCCTTTATCGGTCCAAATTGATCAAACTCGGACCTGTACAACTCAATATACCAAACTACATAATATTTTTTCTACTGAGACCCGGTTTGTATATATTTCGTGTTTTTGAATCAAATTCAAGTTTCAAAAAATTATAATTTTATGTTTAGGTAACTTATTTATAATATTATTAGAAACAATTTGAAAAATCATGAGAGACTCAAATGTATGTTGTGAAAGGAAAATGCTTAAACTATCGGTCCAAATTGAACAAAATCGGACCGACTCAACACAATATACCCAACTACATAATGGTTTTTCAACTGAAACTCGGTTTGAACCTGAAAAAATCATGTTCAAAACCATTTTCGAAATTCTAAAACTTAACTGGATAGTTGCCAATAAAGACAATCTCACTAAAGAATACCCTTAACATCCTAAAAATGTAGACATAAGGAAGTTCTCATGGTTTGGTCTATTTGAAACATTTCACAACATTTCCTATTTATAGAAGAGGAAATATTCTCTTGTTTACTCTCCCCATCGATGTGTGATGAAGACATTATAACAAAACACCCTTTCTTGTTTATAGAACATTATTTAACTTATTTATAATATTATTGTAAAGAAATTGAAAAGTCATGGAAGTTTCAAATGAATGTGGTGAAATGAAAAATGTTTCTTTTATAAGTATACTAGGCGAATGTCCGCGCGTTGCACAGAAAGACCTATATAGTTGAAATCTTTACAAATATATGTTTTTTAAATATAACAATAACATTATTGTTAAATTTGATATAATAATTTGTATAATAAATTGATATAATATATTGACTATTTTGAATTATATGATAATATATACATCTATTATAACTGCATAATCCCAATCGTTTGAATGATTTTTACCTGTGCGTTATTTATGAATAAAATTAAATATAATATATGGTTTAATGTTATTTATAGTTGTTGTTATTGTTAATTAATTTTTTAAAATTTATTTGTTTAACGTTTTAATTTCTATCATTATAATTATTTAAAACATCAAACATTGTTTTTTGATTTTAAAGGTAACAATATAATCATTTATATAGAGTTATTTTTTAATTATTGTTATTATAAGTTATTTAAGCTACTTATTTGAAAACTTTTAACATTATAAAAATATCTTTAGGAAATATTTTAGTTAAATTGAGATTACAATTTAGTTTTTGCATTTAGCATTACAATTTATCACTTTTAACTATTCACAAAATATTCATTGGGTTTTTTTAAGTGAAACTGAAATTTATATTTAAGTCGACACTGTAATGTTATATTTAAAATAACAGTTTAAGTATTTTGTCCAAACTGTTCAAAAGCTGTAGCTTTAAACTGATAATGGTTTACATATAATAACATATTAAATTTAATAAATTAAGTATAATATGTTAGCAGTTAAAGTCATAACTTTATAAGCAGAACTAAAGATATTATTCTAATATTGAAATTTAATTTATTTATGGTTACACTTTAGGTTTGATAATTATTTAACCTTATTAACCAAATTATAATCATTATTAGAAAGATATTACAATTGATCACTTTTAATTATTTACAAAATATTTTTTGGGTTGTTTAAGTTAAACTAAAAATTTATATTTAAGTTGATCATGTAATATGATATTTAAATTAATAATTTAAGTATTTTATACAAATTGTTCAAAATTTATAGTTTTAAAATGATAACGGTTTACATCCAACAATATATTAAAATTAATAAATTAAGTATAATATGTTAAAAGTTAAAAAAACATAACTTTATATGTAGAAGTAAAGATATTTTTTAATATTGAAATTTAGTTTATATATGATTACACTTTATGTCTGATATTTATTTAACCTTATTAACCAACTTATAATCATTATTAGAAAGAAATTGAAAAACCATGGGAGTTTCAAATGAATATGGTGAAAGGAAAAATGCATGGGGGTTTCAAATGAATGTGGTGAAAGGAAAAATGCTTCCTTTATAATATAGTATGATATGATGATATGATGATATGATATGATATGATATAAATATAGATATAGATATAGATATATATAGATAAATAGAAAGTATCGAGTATAAAGTATGTTGGTATTTCCTTACTTAAGTTAAATCTAAAAAAGAAAAAGAAAATAAGGTACTTTCAATTAATTGTGGTACTTATATAATAAACAAATCAACGAAACGAATGTACGTAGCTCTAAATGCATTGTCTACAAAAAATAAAAAAAATAAACACTTTATGTGAATGATATAACAACAATCAGGTAGATTTGTCATAACACAATGCTATTATGGGAACAAATGAAAGTAGGATGCTATAAAAAAAAGTAAAACGCTATTATCGGTCCATTATTCTCATGTGTTTCATGTTTTGGATCTTGCATTCATTTTCAAGTATTATGTTTATTTAAATGAATTCATATTAAAAGGGGTTCACATTTAATATTTATCTTGGATTGAAATTAGGTTCCCACAATTTTCTTTTGTCAAGCATACAAAAGTCGTTTTTACATCGGTCAATTCATCCACCGGATGAGTATACGACTAGTTATTATTGGGTTTCCACTAACCTAACTAAATTTACAAAAGTAATATTGATAAAAATGAGAGAAAAGATACCAGTTATTATATAATGTTATAAAAGTATGAAAACTGCTTACATATCAAAATGTCTAGTGCAATGGTTATTTTTAGTTATACGAATATGGATATCATTATGACATATGGTTGTAATTGTTTTGCGTTGATGTCTTGCCCTTCTATCCAACTTATTTGTTGCAAGTTTAATCGTGCTTAGGAATGCAATTATTGTGTATTCACTTTTTGTGCAAAATCAAGGGTTATAAATGGTACTTCTGAGCGGTATATGTAAAACCAAATAAGTTCAAGATAGTGGCAGAACTAAGAAAAAGTCTAAGGAGTACCACACGTGAATTTAGGGGTAGCATGCCGGAATTTTTCCAATTTTTTTTACATTATTTTTTTTACATTACGCCTGAAAATTTAAGAGGTAGCACCGGCTACCCATGAAACCCCCTGGTTCGGCCCTTGGTTCAAGACATGGTTATGTGGAATTAAACGACAGTTATATTACTATACACTAACTAACCGATTTGAATTGTTTAAAATCATGATACCAAGAAGGAAAGTCGATCATGGAAGGTATAATTTTGAATTGTCACGACGTAATTGTGTGAACTTCGTTTGATGTAATTGTGTGTACTTCATTTGCAATTGTCTTCTGTTACAATATATTTTTCCATAAAAGGTTAGTAATTTTTATTTGTTGTGATATTTCATATGTTATGTATGCCTTACGTACTATAGGATGGATTGACTTAAACGTTTTAGATGACATTTACCTTTAATTTACATGCATGCAAATTGCTTTCAAGTTGGGATTGCACGTGCGATGTCTTGTAGCCAAAACATTAGAACATTTTCTCATTAAATAAGTTTGGATCCATATTTATTTTTATTAGGGATGATTAGATAATATAAAACATAACTATTAATAGTGACCAATATAAAAAAGGTAAATAATAATGTTTCGAAAAATAAAAAGAAATATATTATGACACATGGATCTTATCACTTTGTAAGTAATAATTACATGATATAAATAACTATTATTTACTTAATAAATTTTGTTTTTGTGTTTGCTAAAATGACAATTAGATATTTAATTGTCATCCTTTTTTATAAAAATATATATACGAATTAACGAATATATAACGCATCATGTGTTTAGAATCTTGTGAATTTGGCCCAAATAGAATTCACGAAGGGAAATTAAAAGAAAAGCCCAAAAAGAAATAGAAAATATATGAAAACCACAAAACACCCTCCCCCTCTTTTCACTCTGTATCATCTCGAATGTAATAAAAACCAAAATCAATTTCCGGAATCAAAAAAATCAAAATTTCGATCGATTGCGCATATTGATTCATCTCTTTTCTGGGTTGTTCGTCGAACACTGCTCCTAAAAAGGGGATTGGATTTCGCGCTTATATATACGTCACATATACATATACGTAAATTGTTCTTTGTGTTCTTGTTGTTTTGATCAAAAAAGGGTTCTTTGAGGGTTTGTGGTCAGTTTGAGAGAAATTCCGTTGTGGTTTTTCTAGTTTCTAAACTTGTTCGTTTGGTCTAATTTGCACTTTCAAAGTAATTTGTAGTAATGTGTGTTGTATGATCAATTATGTTGGACTTTAGGATCATCGTTAGGGTTTTTGGGGGTAATTAGGGTTAGGGTTAGGGTTATCGAGAAGAGATGGAAGAGACTGAGCTTGAAGAAGGAGAGGCTTGTTTTGACGACAATGACGCAAGCATTGACCCTGATACAGCTCTCTCTTACATTGTAAGAGTTTTTTTCTTGTGTTGGGTCTATAAAATTCTAAATTTTTTGCATCACCAAACTAAAATTGCTAATATATTATTGGAATAGAAACATTAATAGGTACTTTGTCGTGATTAAGGGACTAAGCAGTCAATGATGGATGATCAATTGAGTGAAATTCCTTTTCTTTGTGTCATTTTGGGGATTTGATCAGACTGGTTTTTTAGGCCCCTATTGAAAGAAAACCAATGGAAATAAAGTTTTGTTGATTGGATTTCTGTTTGTTAGTAGTTCTTGGAATTGAGTGTTCTAAAGAGTAACCACTTTGTGCCATTCTTCAATTCCTGCAGAAATTTTGACTCTGAGAACTGAATATAACCAATGTGAAAATGTAAAAAGTAACATTTATTTGAACTTGAACTAAATAGAAGTTGTGGATAGTGTTTTTCCAAATGTTGTTGTATATCATTACCCAATAATTTGAGTTCTATTCCACATTCTTGATGGTGCATTTTACTCTGAATCTTATTCCACTTCTCTGAAGATGAATTTCATTCACTTGGGAATTTCTTATGAATTGAATCTTGTTTCTGTGACACTTTACTCTATTAATTCAAAATTACAAGGTCTCTCCTTATGTATGATACTTATCTTGATCTTTAATTCTGTATAAACTTGTATGTGCAACTATTATATGCTCACCATGATTAATCGACTTTTGATACTTATCACTAGTAACATTTAGAATTCTACTTCTTTTAGGATCAGAGGCTGCAAAATGTGCTGGGACATTTTCAGAAAGATTTTGAAGGTGGGATGTCTGCAGAAATATTGGGTAAGAAGCCGATAATACAACTTTTCTACCCAAAAGAAGAGCATAACTGCTTTCTAATCCTATCTGAAAAATGATGGGACAACTCTATAACAAATTTCTTGACAGGGCCAAAATTTGGTGGCTATGGGTCGTTTTTACCCTCACACAAGCAGGTTCCAACTGTCCATTCTCATATCAAGACACCTCAAACAGTTCAAAATTTCAACAAATCGTGTTTGGAGGTAGTTGGGATTCTGTTTGTTCATTATATTGATTGATAAACACATTATTTTCACTTAACATTTGTGGGTTTTGTTATTCAATCCATTCAGAGTGCTCCTATGAATGCAATCATACCCACAAAACCTGTCCTGGCTGTTAGACCACCTGTTACCTCTTCATTTCATGTTTCTAAAAATGAAACCACTATAAGTAATTCGGCAAATCCAAGTGAGCAAAGGTCATTGAAGGTACGAATTAAAGTAAGTTCTGATAAATCTGCAAGAAAAAATGCTTCAATTTATAGTGGTTTGGGTCTCTCTTCTCCATCTTCATCAATGGGCAATGATCATCATGATCATGAGGATAGTGATTGCCCATTAACTGAATCTCATCATATCCCTCTTGATTCTCCTGACACCATACTACGTGTAAGTTTCTCCTACTTTTTGTAATTTTGTTATTTCTTGTGTTTATATTTCCTTATTATTATTTTTTTTTTCTTTTTGTTGGTAGGATATGACTTCTATCATTGTTCCTGGAAACCGGCTGCTCTCACCACTAAATGAGAGCCTTCTTTGTATAAAAAAAGTTGAAAGAATCATTGAAAATAAGCCTATGCCTCCTGTTATAGGTAGAAAAATAGGCTTGTCTAGTTTTGTGGATGATTCATCTTCTATCCTTGGAGAAGGGAAGCCAATGGAAGGTAAGGAAGTAAGTTCACAAGACAAAAGTGAAATGAAAGGAATGAAACACAATGAAAGTAGAGGCTTTGAGGCTGAGAAGGCTCCATTTTCGGGGAAAGAATCTTTTGACAGTAAACAGTGTTCAACAACTGATTTAAAAGTGAATCTGTCATCCAAATCTGTACTTTGTAAAGAAAATGTAGCAGCTAAGAAAGATGTACCTGTAAAGAAAAGGGAAACAAACAAAGAATGGTTGAAAGATCAGTTCTTTGGCTCTGATTGTAAGGAGTCTGATTCAGCATGTGGCCAGGATCATGATGTCATTCATAGTTCAAGTGAGGAAAACAAAACCAAAACCAAAACCAAAAAGTTTTCACTTGATACAAAGGGAAGTGACAGGACCAAGGGTAAAACAGTCCATACAGTTTGTAAAAATGACCCTGGTGAGAAAAATGTCGAAAAGAAAGTTGGTCTTAAGGCTATGACTTGTGAACCACATGAAGTCAAACCAAGTCATTCTGTTACCAAATTGCCATTGGAAAGAAAAAGTAAGTTAATGGGCATCATTCAAACTGGAGCAATGAAAGATAATAAGAGTGCCCAAAAGGATATTGTGAAGGTACGTAATAGCTATAAAGATATACTTGACATGAGGGTAAATGACGATAATACCCAAAGACAAGAAGAAAGACACATTCCAGTAAATGGGCTTCCTGCTGAGTCAGCAATACAAGTTGCTCCAGCAGCCCCTTCAGACCATTGGGTAGGATGTGATCGTTGTGAGAAGTGGCGCCTTTTGCCAATTGGTATTGAGCCTGAGAATCTACCTGATAAGTGGCTGTGTAGCATGTCAACATGGCTGTAAGTAGTTTTCTTAAGTCCTTTACATAATTTTCTTCTTGATGTTTCTTTTTGACTTAATGAACATAATAGGGGCAAAGATTGCATAAAGGCTTTCTTTTTTGGACTGAATAATCTGAGTAAATGACCATTTTGCTGTTGTGGTCATTATTAGGCACAATTGCATGTACATGAATGCAGAAAGAACGACTTAATAGAGAAAATGCGTGTTTCTTTTTGACTTAAGTGGATACAAGACTTAGTTCATTTAGATATGTATAGTTGTTTCTTTTTTGCATCATTTTTAGTCGAAAGGGCAAAAAGGTCATTTACTGTCATTAAGATGGTTTGTTCAGTCCAAAAAAGAAACATTCTTTCTTCATACAACACTTACTCAATTATTAATTCAGCACCTGATAAAAAAAGGGAAAAAATGCTTTACTCATTAAGTTCTAACATTTTACAAATTTGTCCTCATTTATGCCATCAGTTTCTCAGATATTCTATAAGCATCATTTATTCAGACATCACTTAATAACTTTATCATGAAAAAAATCCATCTTTTGCTGTTACATTGCATGTTTTGAGGATTTGCTTTTTGATTGTGTAGGCCTGGAAGGAATAATTGTGATATCAGTGAGGATGAAACCACAAGGGCAGTTCAGGAAATGAACCTTCACTTGATGTCTCAGAATCAAAATCATAACCCCCTTCAATACAATGGTAGTGGGGCGATATCTGGATTAGCTTCAGAGAGTATCAGATATTCTGACCATATAAACTCAAATGTTAATTCAGAGAACATGCCTTTAAAGAAGAATATTTCAAGACCTGAAGGCATTTCACATTTGTCACAAAAAAGAAAAAGTTTAAGTGAAGCAAACCAAGAGAAAAACATGGTCAATAAGTCAAACAACTTTGCAATGGGAAGGCATGCTGCTAAAGTAAATGAGAAGGATGTGAATGAAGGTTATGTTTGAACTTGAAGTACATGTTATGTTGCTAATGGTGATAATTATATGTGAATTTACTGATTTGTCCATATGAAATACACTTTCAGGTGGTGATCTGAAGCCAAAAAAGCTAAAAAGCAAAACCGGGTCCGACCCATATGACCATGTAACTTCAAGTAATCTCAAGACTGAAGCTGCACCTAATACTGATGGTTACAAGGACAATTTAGTAATTTCAGTCAAGAGGCAGACAGAAAGTACCGAGCTTTCCATGAAGAGTAAATTATTGGGTACTGAAAAAGTGGAAATGCATGCAAAAAAGAGAAAATTGAAAGACTGGGAGGAGAGTCAGCCTAGTGAAGGTAATAATGATAGAATAGGAAGAAAAGAGAAGAGATTAAAGAGTTCCAACACTGAGATAAACGATTCCACTGCAATTAAAGAGAATGACAGATCTACCCTCAAAGGAAAAACAATGAAAATCATCTTGCCAGGGAGTAAAGAGAATTCAGTTGACAGAAAACTGGATAAACATAGAGAAAAGGTTACTTCAAGAAAGAATTTGGAAATTGCTGCCACTTCAAGCTCTTCAAAGGTTTCAGATTCTTGTAGAATGGTTAGTTTGCAAAAAGGGTCTCCAGTAGGGTCAGTTTCGTCATCTCCTATTAGGGCTCTTAATCATGCCAATCTTTCACCTTCTGTTAGAACTATTTCAAGAAAAAGTGGTAAGGGGACTCAAATTCCAAAAAAGTTACTTCCCAGGGAAGATAACACCAAGGGTATATCTGTCATTGATGCAAGTCAAAGATTTGGTGGCAAAGTTGAACTGAAACAAAAAGAAGTCTTCAAGATTATGGAAGACAATGCTAATATTCCACAGAGTTCTGGGAAGGAATCATTACCAAAGTCTAGGGAAAAAGATAAAAAATGTAATTTCCAAAGAGTAAAAGTCAAAGGGTCAGAACCATTGACCGAGTTGACCAAGCAAGAACCGTTTCCTAATAAAATGAGGAAGGTTGAAGTGGATGTTGACCGTTGTAGATCTTCTATGAACCCTGAATATTCAAATACTAAAATCAGTAATGATGATAAGGATATTTCGGGCAAGAAGATTTCTAGAAAACGGACAGGTGGCATCATAGGAGATGAGAAAGAGAAACAAACACCATTGATGATGATGAGTCATGGTGGATCTGAAGCAAAGTTGGGTGCTATAGGTAGTTCAGAAGTAAAAAAAGATCCGAAAAAGGTGTTTTTAGGCGACATATCAAAGAAAAGGGACTTAAATGAAGTAGAGCAAAAAGTAGAGGGAGGTAATTTGAATGTCAAAAGTGTTGTGAATGAATGTGGGACAATGAAGGATCTTGGTGTTGTAGGTTTTGTGAAGGAGTATGCATCCAGTCAAACTGCTTTGACTGCTTTCAAAAGAGCAGAGGAGTCAAAGGACTATGCTGATCGTATAAAGGTTTGTATTTCTTGTTCAATTCTGTTGATTTTATACACTAATCTTATTCTTATCTATCTTTTTTTTTCTTTATGCAGATTTCTGGATTTGATTATGAGTGTAACGATGCATACTTTGACTCTGCATTGAAGTTTCTTTATGCTGCTTCTCTTCTAGAATCCTGCAGCATTGACTTCAATAAATCAAAAGGAGTGGATCCAGTAAATATTTACACTACTTCTGCCAAACTTAGCAAGTAAAAGTTAAATTTCTTTACACATAAAGTACATTGCAATTAGTTGGTTCATTTTGTAAGTGAAAAGTGGTGATTTTATTATTTCAGGATTTGTGCTCAAGAATATGAGAAACAAAAAGAAATGGCTGCTGCAGCATTGGCCTATAAATGTATGGAGGTGGCATATATGAGGATAGTCTATTGCAAGAGTTCAGTCACTAGGCAGGATCTACAAACAAGTTTGCAAATGGTTAATCAAGGTACTTTTTATTATTTTTTTTGTTAATTATCATAGCATCTTAGCTTTATTTCTTTCTATTATATTATTCTACTTCTCACTTTTTCTTATAAGTTCATTCTACTCAATCATTGCATTGTAATAGGAAAAATTGAAAGTAAGATGTTATAATAAACAAATGCACATTGTTGAAATAGTTATATATAAGAAAGAATAATTGTGTGATTTTCAGGTGAATCACCATCATCTTCTGCATCTGATGTTGATAACTTAAACAATCAAGCAACAATGGATAAGAGTGTGTTGTCTAATAAGAGCATTCCACACCCTGGACACCATCTTGTTGCTAGAAACCAAGCAAACTTTCTCAGGCTGCTTGACTTTGTAAGTTAATTATTAATACCCTCTCAATGGAATGAGGAAAGGAATGGAATCTCGAATTCCAATTCCATTGGAATCCAACATTCTGATTCTTGAAACTAATCTGCAGACAGGGGATGTGAATCTTGCAATGGAAGCTTCAACAAACACACAGAATTCATACAAAGCTGCTGCTACTTCAATCACACAAGAATCTCCAAACAAAGAGATTATGATTTCCATAAAAAAGGTGATTGAATTCAGCTTTCAAGATGTAAAAGAAGTCGTATTTTTAGTCCAAAATGCACGTGAAGCCATCAATCGCCAAGGCTTTAAAGGCAAGAACATCAAGAACAGGGAGTAATTTGGAAGCCAAGCTGTAAATAATACCATTCTGGCATATCACATTTCTCCTAGAATTTTGATAACGAGTCATTCAAAAATCTATCTGTACAAAACAGGAATTAAATCAGAATCAGAAAACATCAAAAAATTTGATATCATTTTTGACCGAGGTAAATTGTTCACCCTGTAGCACCTATGGAGATACTAGAGACTGGAGAGGGGTGGGTTATGTAGGATATTAATTGCTCTTATAAGATCATACACATCCAAATTGGTTGGTTGTTATTAGAAGAAGATATAGTAATTTAGAACACAATTATTCATAGGATTTGTAACAGAAGAGCTTGGATTCTTGAGGATTTCATGTTGTTTGACAATATATATGTAGTTTTGGTCACACAATATGGTTCAAGCTTTTACCAAACTATTTACCACCAACCTAAATGTTGTTTGCTTTTTCTTTCAAATTTTGAAACCTTTTGTTTTGTATATACTTTGACAAGTATCAAGTTCCTAGTACTAGTAGTAAGGATGTGATTAGGCTGTTGATAGAAACAAATAACAGTTGAAATTTGGGTATTTGGGTATCGGTAATTGTGATTTATCTTTCACACCTTAATAGCAAGGAAGTGAGAATCTATATATGATATTTAAGTCTTTCAAAGCATTATCATCCTTGCTATGAAAATATTGTGATTTATCTTCTTGCGCGTTGATGGTGGAAGGAGTTAGGGAGGAGGGAGTCATTCCCTTCCAACCCACTATCACATCAACTTTTGTCTCTTCTTTTTCTTCATCTTTCCCAACTTACAACACACAGAAATCATATATTTCTTAACCCACTCAACCCACTTGATTAAAAAAAATACAAAACAACTTAGATACAAGTTTTAAAACATATGGTACAAGAGAAAATGAGAGAGAAAGTAGAGAGAGATGATGAAGTGGGTTAATGAAACCAATTAAACAACCTCTTAAAGCGGGAGTGATATCGGCGGTAACTCTATTGCTAATTAAGATTTTACCATGATTGTTTTGTATTTTTTTTAATTGAATGGGTTCAAAAAGATAGGGTTTCCGTGTGTTGTGGGTTGGGAAAGATGAAGAAAAATAAAAGAGAAAAAGTGATGTGGCAGTGAGTTCAATGGGTTGGGAGGGAATGATTCCCTCCTCCTTATAGCAATAACGAAGTGAGAATTTCATAACTGAGTGTTTAGGTTCAAGATCACACAACACATTATTTGTTTGTGGAATATTGTGATTTACCTTTCACCAAGAATAAAGTGAGAATCTATAAATGAGATTGAATATATTGTATTTTAGCTTCTTCATATTGATCCATAAATAAGGTTTGAGGTTCAAGGATGAATCACATTCTTTTTGTATTGTGATTTGTTTTATTTTATTTTATATTTGTCGTGAAGTTTGTTGGAGCATTAACGCTATGTTTAGCGTACTAGCTGATAAAAAATGTCGTTTGGTAAAACTACTGAAAAACTAGCTGAAAAATATAAAATGACGTAAAAAGACATTTAAAAGAATATGTTTCTATAATTATTTAAGGGGTATATTCGGAAAATTTTAAAAAAGCTATAAAAAGCTAAAACTAGCTTATAAGCTACTTTTTGACTTGCCAAACATAACTTAAAAAAACTCGAAAAATAAAATACATTATCAGCTAGCTCTGGCGCGCCAAATACAGCCTAAGAAGATAATTCATAAGTGATATTTCAAGTTTAAGCATATAATTCATAAGTGAGGTATTAAGTTAAAGCTTTAACATCACTTTTTATTTATTATTTACTTTGAGGTATTGTAATTCATTTCTTTATATTGGTTGTGACGAGTTGAAAAATGTTACTTAGAGGGTATTGTAATTCATTTCTTTACATTTACAAGTTTGAGATTTTTATGGTTTAAATGTAAATTCTTTTTTCATCCTATAACATTTTCTATTTCGTTCATTTATCCGATTTATAGGTTAACTTTTTTCGCTGATACATAAGTTTTTTCTCAAAAGAAAAGCCTCATATTCACCTTATTTTTTATTTTTATTTTTTTTTCAAATAACCAAATAGTTCACAAAACATTTGTCATAACATAGTAGATAACATCAAATAACATTAAATGGTGTATGTAGATATTAATTTACTAAGACACCTTTAGATCTAACAATTCACACATTATACCATCCAAATAAATATTAATGGGAAATTCTATACTATCCCCCAATTGCTTTGTTTACTGAGTGTAATAGTGCTTTGTGTACCCGATGATGTGACGATTTATATGAGTGAGGGGTATATATAGTAGCACCTTTTAGTTATGGCTACCATATATTCTAGAGGCTAGTAGGAATGATGGAATGCTATTTTATAAATCATTTACCTTTATTGATTTATATTTTCTACTAATAACATCCACGATATTATGTTGGATCTTATGTACTTGGACAAATAATTTAAGTATATTATCAATATCAATTATATAATCTCTGGATCGCACATAAATAAAGAATACCAGAGACATGGAATAAAATATATATTTTTATATTAAAAATGTATTATTTATCAATCATACTACATAAATAAATATGTAGGCACATTTATTATTTATTAAATTAAATAAGGTACGATAAATAAAAATGTTTATTTATTAAATTGATTAATTATTTAAACTAATATGTTTAGGCTTACTCAACCGCATATGTTCCCGTTTCCATTTGATCGACGACACCTCCATCCGTCTCTTCCATTATGTTTTGTTGACTAGACCAAGAACGAGGAAAGAAAAGGTGGCTTGTTGCTTTGTTAATTAAAAGTATAACAATTGTTCATGTTTTTTTTTCTCGTGTGAATAAAATAGAGGTGATTATAACTTTGATAACAAGTTTCTTCATCAAATGTCTCATATAATCAGCTAAAGGTATTTTTTTTATTATTATTTTTTTATTTTATAAAACACTCCATGGTTGATCTTGGTTAATCTTTACTGAAGTGATGACAAGCACAAAATTGCTTGGGTATCGTGGGAAAAGGTAGTTGCACCAAAGGATAGAGGGGGACTTGGTTTAGGCTCTCTCCGGTCCTTTAACTTATCGTTGATTGTCAAATGGTGGTGGGCATTAAAAACAATCAAATCAGCCTTATGGAGTCGTGCAATTATGGGTATTCATAATTTACATAACAAACCTGGTAATTGTTTGTCAAAGAGAACTATTCCAGGTGTGTGGAACAATATGGCGGGGGTATTGAATGATCTAAATAAGTTTGGAATAAGCTTTCAAGACATATTAAAGAAACAAGTGAAGAATGATAATGACACCCTCTTCTGGATGGATGGGTGGTGTGATGGTGAACCCCTTAAAAATAGATTCCCAGAACTTTATCAGCTTGAACGACGAAGGACTTGTAGGGTTAACCAAAGATTACAGGCGGAGGGCCAAACTTGGGAGTGGAGAACACCCCCTGCATCTGCTGAACAGATTCATAGCCTCCTCAGGCTGCTTGCTGTCATCGAAGATCAGCAACTATCCTCAGAACCTGATACATGGAACTGCCCCATATCGGGGGATGGTATCTATCACGTAGATACTCTCAGATTAAAGATTGATAATATAGAACCGGCGAATAATGAAGTAATCATCCCATGGATTCACGATGTTCCTATAAAGGTTAATACATTTATTTGGAGAGCTAATCTGGGACGTATTCCATCCAACTTGGCGTTAAAAAATAGAGGAGTCACAGTTGCAAACACAACATGCCCACATTGCCAGCTCGAGGACGAAGATACTGGGCACATCCTGATCCGTTGCCCAGTTGTGGTCACCATATGGGATCTGATATTTAAATGGTGTGATATTCCGTCTCCATAATTTCAAACCATCGGGGATCTTATCAGTTTCTTAAAAACTTGGGGGGATGTCCGAGAAGGAGAAATAACCTAATTAGTGTTTGTTATGGTGTAGCTTGGTTATTATGGAAATCAAGATGCGACTGGGTGTTTAGGAACATACGAACTCCCCACCCTAAGATTTTGGATAGTGCAAAGTCTCTAGTGTTTACTTGGCTTAGACATAGAAGAGCTAATTGCCATTATAGAGGGGCTGGATGGTGTATTTGCCCACTGAAATGTTTGTAATTCAATTGTAACTTTCTTTCCTGGGCACGCCTAGTATCTTGCTAGGTGGTGGTCCCTAATAATATTTTCCGGTTCAAAAAAAAACTTGGATTCGTTTTTTGGGAATTGTTAATTAAACATTTTATTCCACGTTGATGCTTGGTTTCTTATAAATCCTTTTACGTTTCCATCGATTCCCAACAGTGATATCAAAGGCTTCTTTTAGATCTCTATATTATATTTGATTTCTTTTGTTCATTCATCACCATCGATTTCTTCATGTTGCATTAAAATGATAAAAAAATCTCAAAATGTAAATATTGTTGATACTTAAAACGTTAACTGTGTGATTCAATATTTACTTGTTGAATATATTCTTTTTAATAACATCTCATGCTTAAATTTATAATATAAACCATTAATTGGGTTTACATTGTAGATGTAATTCTTAAGGAATTGCCTTATGCCCTTTTGAACCTTATGAGATATGATAAGCTGTTTGTGGTTGATGTTTTTGTTGGTGAATTGTTATCATCAATGTTATTTAAGTGTAATATGATTAATTTGTTGACTAAAAATGATTTGATAAATATCAAACAAGTAAGGGAGGTGTGGTGTGCACACTTGTTTAAAATTGATCAAGTTTTCAAAGTATACTGTCATTTAGGGACGAAGCCCCTGAACGAACAGGGGTCCGGGGGTAGTGCCCCTGAGAGCGGGGTCTAAGGGGCGGCAGCCCTTGGCGGGGTCCAAGGGGTAGAGCCTTAGACCCCGTGTAAAACCCGTAATCTTGTGGAGCAATTGTAAGGAATGAATCCCATTTTGAGGACTGGACACGGTGTGTTGGAGGAACCAACACGGCGTGTCTAGTTGAGGAAAAACGTAGTTCTCAATAAGGTCAACACGACGTGTTGGAAGCTGGGAAGGAAACCCTAATTTTTAGGATGTTGCACCCTATATAATTTTTTAAGCCCCAAGGGTTGGTCTCCTTACCAGCCTCCATTGTTACTAAAGCCCTAAAATCGATCCTTATGTCTCTTGTTGGTGTTCTTGAGGTTGTAAGAAGTTCTTGGTGCTCATTGTTGGTCTTTGTGAAGGAAGAGGAGATCTTGAAGTTGCTTTGTTTGGGGAAAAGGCCTTAGATCCAGAATCATCATCTTTTGAGGAAGCTTTCTGAGGTATCAAGTTTGCATCTTGTCTTGTATATGTTTAGATCTCTTCTTTTGTGCTTTTGGTCCCTTTTTGGGTTGATGAGAGAGTG